TCTTTGTCCTCACATTTAATAGGCAGAGGAATGCGTACAACAAACAGCAACACACATCTACAATAAACAAAACTCCCAAACAGCCACTTCCTCTTGTTGTGCAACCGTTTGCTGATAAAACCAAGTCAGTCCATCTTGGGGTGACAAGCAATCAGGAACTCAGCATGTATACTGAAATATATGCTTGAGTACTTGTCTACCTGATTGGTTTTTACTTTACAAATGCTCGACTTGTCTATGTTTGCACCATCTGCATGCTGTAGCATCACAAGGGCGTTGGCTTTGCTCTAATGGAGACAGCTTGTCCAGTTCCTCTTACTGCATGGCGTCATACTTCCTCTATTGTTCTTTTGTCGCTGGCAGAGTGATGTCACTACTGGGCTCTGGATCTGACACACGCACACACACACACACACACACACACACACACACACACACACACACATCTCTGGGGCCTGTTGGAGCAGGAAAGCCAACCCTCGCTGTGGGCGTTGTGATCGCCGCTGTCATCGTGCACTGATAGTCTCCAAGGTGCAGCGCCTCATTTTTTCAGCTTGACTCTGTATGAGAGGAAGCTGCTCAATGATTAAAGGTTGAGTAATGCTTTCAGTGTCTGGTGCTATGGTGCATTTTATCAAGTGAATATGACCATTGACCCTTTGTTTTGTTATCTCGAACAAGCGTGAAAATCTAAAGGTTAAGTTTTCTTTGGTTTTAGTCAGTAGGAATACAAAAACATTACATCAACGATTCAGCATGATTTTCCCTCCCGAGCTTGCGTAGCTTTTCTGCTGTGAGTGTAAATGTGTGTGTGTGTTTTGTTTGTCTGTGTGCGCCTTGCCTTGACCACCCTGGACTGGTTGCCAGCCCACTTCGTGCCCAAAGCTAGCTAGGATTGGCTCCTCCTTAACCCTAAAGAAGACAAGTGCATTCCGAAAATGGATGGATCAGAGTAAGCGCTCCAGAGCCAGCAAATGGAACTTGCGCTACTTAGACGTCGTAGTTGGCTTTCTCTCTTTAAATGCACAGTACCACCACCAACAGGACCAGAGTGGAACAGCTCTACTCGGTGCATCATTCTATTTTAAGCAACCCATTCAATTGTGCATGTTGCATATTGTTTAGGGTTTTTTTTTTGAAATGGTACTTTTTGTTGTTTTCAACAAGCAAGGTGCACTGAAAACAATGGGGTGCTGATACTCTGTTTTATTTTGTCAAATGGCTGCACACAATTGAATCATCGGGATTTCGATGCATTTTTTTAAGTAGAGTTGTAGGGTACTTGAAAAAATATATGTATGGATCCACATTATTTTATTTCATGCAACCACAAAATGAAATTGAGTGCATTCAATACACCATTTTTTTCAGTGTAATGTGATATTTCCCTGGTACATTCAGAACAAATATTGTTTGACATAGACCATAGTTTTGACAAATTTGTGACTAATGATGCGTAACGATATAAGCAGACTTGACCCACGGCACTGTTGCTTTGTAAAATTATCGGACCGCACCCTTGCTTTGCCACGTGCTAGCCGACTGTGCTGCGGGGTAGCTAATTAACATGAAACTGATCTGGAACCTGTCAGTCAGGCTTTGTTGCAGAGGTTTAAGAAGCTGTCAGCTCTCTTGTATGCAGTATTAAGCTGCTAGCATGTGTGCATTTGATGTAAATATGGCACAGGCTGAGAGAGATCAAGTGTTTCCCAGCTCATGGGGAAAAAGGGAACCAAAAATGTGTTATCTGATTTATGCTCTGTGTAGATGTTTACCTTGTAACGTTAAAGTGTACAAGGAAGTACAATGAAATAGGAACTTGTTTTCTGTTTGCCTTTGCACGCAGTGAAAATACAACTTCAAGAGAACAGCTATGATGACACTCACTTCACAACATAAATGGTAATGTTCAAGGTTCACTAAATGCTAACACACACCGCGTTGTCGCCACCTTGCTCATACTGTGGCGGCCAGTATTGAGTCTCATACCTCTGTCTATTCTTACACACACGCTCGCACGTGCACACACTGCTTAATGGCTCCAACTGGGATTTTGAATGATGTACAATTTATGGTTTATGAGGCCCATCTGGTCCTGAAAACCCCGCCTGCAGGCTTTGATAGCTTACCCTTCCTCTTCACGTTGCGTGTGTGTGCGCGTGTATGCGTGCATGTGTGTGTGGACGCAGGACTGAACAGATTGACTGAAGTGATTTCTTAGTAGTGAAGCGGCACCAGTAACTGGATGCTGAGCTCCCCCCGGGGCTTAATGAGCTTGGAACACGGGGGCTCCGCTGCACTGCCGACTGCACTATCTCATGCATAGACATGCAGATGGGTCAACCCTGTCATTCATCTGCATCTCTTCTTGTAATCTCATCCAACAGAGATCCGCCTGCCTCCTTGTCTTTAAGTCCACATCCTTTTCAAGATTTCTGTTTGCTTTGTGTGCACTTTGCATGTTGGCCCTTGTTAAATGACTCCATATCTAAAAATATGTTCCCGACTGACGATACCTTCAGTTGCTTTATTCCAAGCCACTCGGGCGAGGTTTTAGAAGCATCCATCTGAATGAAACATGCCGCCAGTCAAACTATAGGGAAGAACCTTAATCAATACTTGAGAGATGAGAAAGGACACATGCTTGTTGCACTTCGTCACCCTCACTCACACATACAGTTCACGATTACGTACTGCACTACCAATGTCCCCTGTAGGATGACCAGATCAGCTGTCATCCCACTCACCCAATTGCTAATCTGCCAATCCAAAACCTCCAACGCCTCCCCCTCATTCAATTTCTCCATCTCTCCCCCAGCAACTACCTCAGCCCCTTGGCATGGCAGCTGTGTCGTCCTGTAAGCATTACATCACCGTAAGAGCAGTCTTGTCACCGATCCCCTGACAACCAGCACCATCAACATACACTCACACAAACACACATGCACACGTAAATTGCATGCACGTACTGTACACACTCACTGATGCGTGTTTGCCTGGCAAAGTGTTGTATACTTCACCCTGAACCCACACACCTCTCCTTTTGTCCTTCACACACACACATACACACACACACACACAAACACATTTATATATGCACACAAAGCAAACCCAATTAACTCACAGTCCTCATCACCCTAATCTCCCCTATCTGGAAAATGACATTGTCCCTTCCTATGCAATCCTGACAGATGATCTATGGTGTTGGATTACACTCCTGTCACTGCCTGTTTTAGCAGAAGAGGGGAGAGGGGACATGCACAAATAATATTGAAGTATTAGTCTGCTAAGCCGTGGTTATTTCACCCCCGAAAAACTTCTGAATTTATCCGCAAATGCTGTCAGTCTCCCAAGTCGAAATGTTCTGAAGACCAGGGGACACTGAAACAGTCTCTTAGGGGAAATAGTCATCGCATTTTAAATAAAGGAAATGCAAAGAGACAACTGCCATTCAATTTGGATCTGTCCCTTTTTATTACTGGTATATCAAATTAGTCCGTATTGTTTTTCTTCTGCTTCCATTCATCGTGACCGTATTGAATCACAAATCTTATACATTGTATTTGCAATCACAATACCTGTACACCAAATTGGAAAAGATTTAACTCACTGTTCTCAATGGGTTGGTATCACTCTGTTTATGTGTTGTGCTCCTAGGACCACCTATTTCTGTCGCCGCAGAGAGCTCACGTTCGCTCAATAGAACGCCATGGCTGCCGTTTGCTATACTACATATCCCACGGTAATCCTCCAATTAGCACAGCTACTATTCTCAGCCATGTTACTCGGGAGGGTGGCAGAAGAGAGCGGGAGGAAGCAACACACTCATGTCATTTTAGGAAATCTAGGCTACTTTTATTGTTGTTGTCCAACCAGGCACCTGTTGCAAATGGTATCCTTGTTAATGCACTCTCGAGTCATTATTTTTCTTTGTCCTTTTTTTCCCCACTCAGCATGAATGTAACTTTCATTGTATGTATGTGTATATTCTGTGTGTGTCATTTTTTTTCTGTCTTTAAAAAAAAAAAAAAAGGATAAAATATCCCATGAACTTCATTCGGCTGAAATGAGTTTCCTCCCAAGGTATCCGGGCTCTCCCCTAGAGATAAGGTGAGATGCTCTGTCATCTGGGAGGGGCTCAGAATCTAGCCGATTCTCCTCCACATCGAGAGGGGCCGGGTGAGGTGGCTCAGGCATCTTATTAGGATGCCTCCTGGACACCTCCCTGGTGAGAGGTTCCGGGCATGTCCCACCGGCAGGATGCCCCAGGGACGACCCAAGACATGCTGAAGAGACTATGTCTCCCGGCTGATTTGGGAATGATCCCCCTGGAAGAGCTAAAAGAAGTGGCTGGGGAGAGGGAAGTCTCAGCTTCCTTGCTCAGGCTGTTTGTTGCCCCATGACCCGACCCCAAATAAGTGGTAGAGAGTGGATGGATGGATGTTTGAAGCATGAAATGTGGCAAGAGGTGAAAAGGTTCTCGGGGGCCGAATACTTTTGGAAGCCACTGTAACAATTGGTTTCCATTCAGTCTCCCCAAGCAGTCATGTAATGTCATTTGCTGCCCCGCCAATAGCTGAACCTGTGGGCTGCATATTTTTCATTCCATAGTAAAGCACCAAGAGTGGGTGGACAGTCACATGGAGAATGTTTGCACACCACAAGCTTGTTGAGTTTTCACCTCTAGGGTTTCTCTCTTTTGTCCGCTTTGGTTCTTTTTCCATGCTCTACCCTAATTTAACATTTTCCTTCTCCAATTTCATCCTCAAAGACAAAACCACATGGGACAGGACTGTGGACTATGGCCCGGCAGCACAGTGAGGTCACGCACATTCTCCCATTGCAACACTAGATATTCCTGTCTTTGAAAGCTATTGAGTCATCTTAAATCTTGTTGTAGTTGTACGGTTTGGTTCCACTTGTTAAAACTATTCTCACTGTAACTAGTCAAACATAAAGCTGTGCATTCCCATCACTTAACTAGTAAAGTCAGGTAGTCACGCTTAGCTGCTGAAGTACCTGTTGGCCTTTAACTGTCTCCATTAGAGGCCAGCTCTACAGCTCGGTCCCTGAGGTGGCCGCATATTTGTTGACTGACTAAGGAATGTGGTTACGTGCCTTGGACATTAGCTATGACGGAGCTCTGGCTCCATAGGAGAGGGAGGGTGCAAAGAAGAGGGGCAGGCTCCAGCCTCACGCAAGTGAGCTCATTCACCCTCCAAGCTCGAGGAGAGCGAGTGGCGGCGTCATCCTCCGTTGCAGAGAGATCAGAAAGAGGAGGGAGGCAGAGGGAGGAGTTTTCGCGAGTGAGTGAGCGAATGGGAGACGCGGAGAGCGGAGCCGCAGAACAATAGTGCGCTGCTCTTCTTGCTGTGGACTCGTTGAGAAAGAGAGAGCCCTCACTAAGACACACAGAAGCTCTCAGACCAGCTGCAGGCGGAATACAGCTGGCACATTTGTGCTGGAAAAGGCACCCGTTTTGCTCTTGCGCTCTCAGTGGCCGACATTCTGAACAAAACCACAGAGTTACTAACTATTTACCCAAGAGCATTTCTGGGATTTTTGCATTCACATAGGATTCTGGCCACATGTGGACTTGTTTTAGGGCAATTTGAGGTGCAGCAACAGAGATACTCGGACTCATGGGTTTTTCATTTTTCCTGCACGTGGTCCATGACTGAGGGTCATTCCCAAGACTCCCGAACAGCTTACACAGCTAGTGTGTACTCTGACATCAAATTCAGATTGAGCAATCTTGGAATTTCCACCTCCATCAGCTTTCTAAGGAGGGCATTTTCGCTCGAGACTCTTGCAAGGGGGTGGCTCCATCCCTGAAGAAGTCGGATTGTGTTCTTGGGGATGCCACTTGATGTGGTGATATCCCCTGCAGAGGATCGTTTTTGGCCGGACCCGCACGACACTGATATGAGGCTGAAGATCAGGGTCCGCAGGATGAAGGAGGGCAGGGAGCTACGAGGTGTGTACCCACCTGGTAACTCAACGACAATTCGTGTGTGTGTGTGGGGGTGTGTGTATGTATATGTGTGTGTTTGATTTGGGGGATATGGAGAAGGGCCTGCTTGCTGTGAAACAGGAGTATGTGTACCCTTCAACAATATTCAAAAGGGATATGTTGTATTGATGGTGCCAGTTTAGCTCCTGATAGCATTTAACTGTAGAGACTATCAAGGCAAATGTGAAGAGGTATTCCAGTGCTAGCGTGGACTAAAAGTAGACATGAATGAAAGGTCGTGATTGTATAATATTTAGAATCCACTGCTAACAGACAAATGGGGCTCTTTGAGCAGATCCTGCTCAACCTGACATTAGTTCCCCTCAGCTTTTGTCTTCACCTTTACGCCGGTTAGAGACGTAATAGGAAGAAGGATTAGGAGGATGACATGAAGATAAAATCCAATGAAAAGTAAGAGAAAGGGGATTCGGGCAACAGAATGAGAGCTGTGACCCACGGTATGACATAGTGCTCATGCTCTCACAGCCTGCGGTCATTGAGATGTAAAACTGCCACAAAGGCGCCATTCTCTTTCTTCTTGGCTTTTCTTACTCTCTTACTGACGACTCACACTCTCTCTTTTCAGAATGTATGCGGAGATTATGTTATCATTGTGTGTGGTGTGCACTGCAGGTGGCAAAGACAACACTTTTTCACACAGGCATGAGGCAATACTTTCATAGTGAACAAAGTACACGCAGCCAACCATTCCTTCGCCCCACGCTGGATGTGCATGTCACATGTATACATTTAGTGGGAGTGATTCGGTTCAAAGCAAACCGCTTTTTGCGCTTGCCTGTGTGTTTGCACAGCAGCATGTACAGTTCATTTTGCATTCAGACTTTGTTGCTGGAGGTGACAAGCTTGATTTTTTTTTCAAAGTAATAAATTAGGAGTTGATTTTAGAACACTAAACTCATCCTTCTGCAATAAGTAATGATTTTCTTAATAATCGATTTAGCTGTTGATTATTATGTCAATGAAACATTTTTTTTTAATTCATGAATTCCTTTATTCAGATAGAGGACGTTATTTCAAATTGACAGTGTTGAAAACAAATTATTCATGATTCAGTTAATTGTTGGCTCCCTGAGCTTTCAAAAAATAGGCAAAAATGTTCATCACTGTTTTCCAAAGGAAAAACAAATGTTTTATTTTGATTCAACACAAAGATGATGAGTTTACTTCCATGGAATGGGGCAATATTTAGTGTTGTGACAGTGAAATTTCAAGCATTTGGACAGTTTAAAAAAGAGGATCAAAACGATTCATCGGTGATCAAAAATAATGATCAATTTGATAACCGATTAATATTTTGCACCTCTACAGCATGTTACCAACATTGCCTCACACTGTATAATGTGCTGAAACAGCAATTCAAACAAAGTGACATATAGTGGCTGTCTGTGCACTAAGATAGAGGAACAATGACAGTTTAACCATTAGACAGGATGCCATGCTAATCACACAGTCTATCAATCCTCAACATGACGCCTGCTTGAAAAGATGACATCACCCTCTTGTCTCATCTGTGTATTGTCAATCTTTTCTGTTTTGACACAATTGGTCATCAGCCCCCGCCCCCCCTACGAAACACACGCACACTCTCTCAGCCTTTCTTTTCTCCAGGCTGCAATTCAGCTTTTGTGGTGCTGAGTGGGACATGTGTGCAATGATGTCATGTTTGGGGGAGGGGGGTGGGGTCACATTGAAATGCTAATGTACCCTCATGGGTTGAAGGGACAGCTGGAGGTGCACACTGGATGGCGTCATGTCTCCCCTGATATGAACCGAAGAGGAGAGCGGTGGAGGGGTGCGGGGTGGCCATTCATGCAGACCAATGCCCGCAGGTTGTGGAGGTTTGTGTGTGCGGGGGGAAATCACCTCACCATTAACTGTAAACTGAAAGCTACACACTTTACAGGAGTTTGAACACAGAGGAGGGATTGAGTTGGTTTGTATTGATACAGCAGTCAATTGTACCACTAGGAGTGATGATGTAACAGCGGAGCTCCCATTAACCAAAATAGCCACATGGTGTGCATCTCTGTCCAAAATGGTCCGCGGGTTCCACTCGAGCTTTCATCGTCCGACTCTCCCTGCATCGATTCACAGAAGGGCACAAAAAAAGTGGGATCCAAACATCTGCTACGGATCCCTGATAGTAAAGATTGGAAATTTGAATTTGGATTCAGTTTGTTATAAGAAATAAGGAATGGATAAAAGCAGCCAGGAGGCCCGAGTCGTACACTCTCACAGAGAGGGTTGGAAGTTGTGGGGGGACGAGGGGGGGAGAGGTTAGTAAGCAGTTGCATAAGCTACACTCTCACAGAGAGAGTTGGAAGTTAGGGGGGGAGAGGTTAGTAAGCAGTTGCATAAATGATGAATTGGGCAGAGGGAAACGGAAAAAGGAAGTCACCACTGGCGAGCGCTGCCGATGGCGACACAGTGCCCTCTTTCCCGGATCTGTACTTGCCTTTTTTTAGGCTGGTGTGTTCACGGATCGGTTTGTCACATCCTGTTTATTTTCCAGATACAAACTACTACCTTCAAATGTCCAAAAAGAAAGGCCGTATCTCCGTTGTTCCCCTCGCCAAAGCCCAAATTGCTCCAACGCCAAAATGATAGCTCGCAATTTGTTGGAAAGGTGACAACAATTCTCGACACCGGCTTACACAAATATGTGCAGCCATTTGTGTTCATGTGTAAAGTATCAGCATGTCACGCTCGACTGATTATCACGCAGCACTGAAGATGAACTCATCCTTCCCAGTTGACCTTCTGATGTCATGTTTGGAGACAGCTGGCTCGCTGTGTGTCACAGGGTATTTTTCAATGACTTCATTGTGGGTCCTCACTGGTGTGTTTGCGTTATGCTCGGAGATTGGAATGGGTCGTCGTTTTCTTTTCTGGAGAATGTGAGGTCATGTCTCTCTATTCATGCATATACGTCCTTGAGCTCTTTTGACACTGCGCAGTGTGTCCTATAACTTCCTGAGAACACACAAGGGGAACACCATGAGCTAACCGTCAACACTGTCCTTCCTTGTTGTCCCTGACAACTTAAAGGAAGGGAAGGTCAGGTGACAGAATGACAATAACGTACTATCTCCTGGCTGTGTGTGTAACGCCGGCGCTGCCTGCAAGGGAGGTGTCAGTAATTGTATTGACGTCATGTAACTACCCTTTAAAACAACACTTGACACAGGCCGCTTATCTCTGACTTGATCCGCTTCATTCCGCTTCAACTGTAACCATTACCTGAGTCACACACTGGCCCGACATGTTTCCTGCGTTTTCATACTTTGACTGCAATCACTATACTATTCCAGACACATTTAATTGTAAAAGCAAGTATATTGATCGGAGAGTTTGTCCACTCATGCTGTCACTTCCCCTCACATACACTTTCTCCCCACGCATGCCGTTGAGCAAACATGCTGTGTCCACAGTGTCGTGTCCTGTCTTGTGTACTTCTAACAAACTCTCAAACAATGTTCTCACGTAGAAAGGGAAATGGTTGTCGTGTGACATGAGCCTTTTCCTGTTGTTTCTGCTGTCTCCAGGAACATTGCGCTTCCTCGTTACAATACACTCAACACCCGTCCGTATATGTAGCCAAGGTCCAGGAAGAGACCCTTTCGAAGAACTGCCCCCGCCCCCATCTGGGTTCTCAAGTTCAAATGAACAAGATTGCATAGAGGCCAAATAGAAAATGTATGTCGTCATATTTATTTGCGCAGCAGTCGGCATGAAAGCCTCCGCTCCTCGTTCTTGGGTGCTATCTTATCATTTGTTCCGCGTCATACATAGTGTAGCACTGATGTCATCACTCCGTCAGTTGCCACTAATAGCAGGAGACCGACAGGGATCCACGATGCACTTAAAGACACAACGCTGCCCCTGTGGCACTTGATTCAGATCATTGCCTTCTTCAGACGCTGTGGGTTTATTTCTCCCAAGCCATGTCCTTCTTGACACGTTTGGATTCGTTCTGCTGAGGTGTATGTTTTCCAAATTCACCATGAGTGTTCCTGACACTGTGCTTAAAATGTGGCAGCTGGGTGTGCTTTTCAACCAGCGGCCGGGAGTTGTGTGCCCTGCATTTTTTTTCTTACAGTGATGTCATGTCTCACTCACTCTCTCTCGGTGTGCGTGTGTGTGTGTGTGTGTGTGTGTGTGTGTGTGTGTGTGTGTGTGTGTGTGTGTGTGTGTGTGTGTGTGTGTTAGATTGGGTCAGGCCGGACTGAACCTAGATTAGGTTCTAATCTCCACTCTGAGTCTTGAGAGTTCCTTAGTAGCATTCCCTTTTTTTCTCCCGAGTCGTCTGAGAGGTCATTACCCGCATGATACACAACACACACTTCAAACCCACCTCCTCCCCTTGGCCCCCACCCTGTAGTTATACAACCACAATGCTGCAGAGTAATGATGAGTGTGTGTTGGAAAGGGATGGTGTCTTGCACAAAGCCTTGTGAGTCATTGTGAGTGAAGAGTGAGTGTGGCGCTAAAGATTATGCGATCATGTTTTCAGATCATCTTTTTACGCTGCAACCACTTGTTAAAATGTGTGCGCGTGCGTGCGTGCGTGCGTGCGTGTGTGTGTGTGTGTGTGTGTGTGTGTGTGTGTGTGTGTGTGTGTGTGTGTGTGTGTGTTTTGTACGAGTGTCATGCTGTGCGCTTGTCAGGGAGATGTTACTGGGCCTCTGTCCTGGCCGTGCACCTGTGGCCTCTCTCATTCCCCCAGCCTGACGCAATGCACTTCTACAGGACATGAGCTCATGCAGGAAACAGACACACTCACACACACACACACACACACGCACGCACACACACACACACACGCACACACACACACACACACACACACACACACACACATATGCCAAAAGTGGAACCGCCTGCCTCTTAAAGGGCCAGACACGCACATTCCTGGCCACCCTGCAGTTAACCTCACACAGAAGAACAAGAGAGCCTCTTCTATGCTTCTGTTGCACTAGGCAGGACCCAGACATTGTAGCCCAGGGTTTACACTGCTAATAGTGCAAGATTTTTATTTTTTTTTGGACTCATGAGACCTTACATAAATCCTCTTATGTTGAATGACTTCAGTGCTGAAAACAATTACAGTAATGGAGCTGTTCTGGTTGTATCTGTGCAGGAGGCTTTGCTGCTTTCTCCTCCTGCTTCCCCGGCCTGTGCGAAGGCAAGCCGGCCACTGCTCTTCCTATGAGCTTGTCCCAGCCCTGCTTGCCAGTGGCAAATGTCGGGCCCACTCGCATCCTGCCACACCTTTACCTGGGCTCCCAGAAAGATGTTCTCAACAAGGTTTGTAATACACTCCAACTTGTAAGGCAGACGCCTTACCTGGCTGAAGAAAACTTAGAAGGGATTTTTACTTATAACTGTAGGCAAAGTACTTGCTCATGTGGGGATACCTGTCTGTCTTTAAGGAGTGCAGTCTTAAACATATTTCATCTAAAAATTGCCATGAGAACTCAACTAACTGTATCTAAATAAAACTCAACGAATTTCAACAAGGCGGCCCGTGGTCCAGTGGTTAGCACGTCGACCTCACAGTGCAGAGGTACAGGGTTCAATTCCAGCTCCGGCCTCCCTGTGTGGAGTTTGCATGTTCTCCCCGGGCTTGCGTGGGTTTTCTCCGGGTACTCCGGTTTCCTCCCACATTCCAAAAACATGCATGGCAGGCTGATTGAACACTCTAAATTGTCCCTAGGTGTGAGCATGGATGGTTGTTCGTCTATGTGTGCCCTCCAATTGGCTGGCAACCGGTTCAAGGTGTCCCCCGCCTACTGCCCAAAGACGGCTGGGATAGGCTTCAGCACCCCCCACGACCCTTGTGAGGATAAGCAGATCGGAAAATGGATGGATGGAATTTCAACAATCATCGCATTGCTATATTCCATCCTGTTTCCTGGAGTGGGCGAGGACCTTGGACTAATGTTTTCTTTATATCTCTGCAGGATCTGATGGCTCAGAATGGTATAACGTACGTACTAAATGCCAGCAACACCTGCCCCAAGCCAGACTTCATCAGCGAGAGCCACTTCATGCGCATCCCTGTCAACGACAACTACTGTGAGAAATTGCTTCCTTGGCTGGACAAAACAAATGAATTCATCGGTAAGCGGGAACAAGATGCATCTGTTAGATTAGTAACACATGAGATCATTTGTCCCGTTAGTTGTAACTAAACACTGCCAAAATATCTAACACGACACATACCATTGTCACAGCTAATAAAGTTTCAAGTGTAGTGGAGCAAACAATAGCATCAGGTGTAAAACACAGTGCAGAGGTACAGGGTTCAATTCCAGCTCCGGCCTCCCTGTGTGGAGTTTGCATGTTCTCCCCGGGCTTGCGTGGGTTTTCTCCGGGTACTCCGGTTTCCTCCCACATTCCAAAAACATGCATGGCAGGCTGATTGAACACTCTAAATTGTCCCTAGGTGTGAGCATGGATGGTTGTTCGTCTATGTGTGCCCTCCAATTGGCTGGCAACCGGTTCAAGGTGTCCCCCGCCTACTGCCCAAAGACGGCTGGGATAGGCTTCAGCACCCCCCACGACCCTTGTGAGGATAAGCAGATCGGAAAATGGATGGATGGAATTTCAACAATCATCGCATTGCTATATTCCATCCTGTTTCCTGGAGTGGGCGAGGACCTTGGACTAATGTTTTCTTTATATCTCTGCAGGATCTGATGGCTCAGAATGGTATAACGTACGTACTAAATGCCAGCAACACCTGCCCCAAGCCAGACTTCATCAGCGAGAGCCACTTCATGCGCATCCCTGTCAACGACAACTACTGTGAGAAATTGCTTCCTTGGCTGGACAAAACAAATGAATTCATCGGTAAGCGGGAACAAGATGCATCTGTTAGATTAGTAACACATGAGATCATTTGTCCCGTTAGTTGTAACTAAACACTGCCAAAATATCTAACACGACACATACCATTGTCACAGCTAATAAAGTTTCAAGTGTAGTGGAGCAAACAATAGCATCAGGTGTAAAAAAACTTCCGTTCAGGAGACCTTCTGTCGTCTTCAAGGAAATGTCAAGTTTCTTTCAATAGAGGCTGATTGTCACCAGACTTTGTCCTGCTGCTATTGTGTGCATTTGTGTGGCCTGAGCCCTACCCGTCATTTCCTCCCACAGACAAAGCCAAGGTGTCAAACTGCAGAGTCATTGTGCATTGCCTGGCTGGAATCTCGCGTTCAGCGACCATTGCCATTGCGTACATCATGAAGACAATGGGCCTGTCATCAGATGATGCCTACAGGTACACTTACTCTCCCACCCAGCCGAGCTAAGGTGACAGGCACGTTAAAAGGCAACTGCCTTTTGTAGGAAATGTGCCGACTGTCATATGCAGTATGTGAGGCCGCTCGCTGCCTGGGGGTTGTGTACAAAAGGCAGTACGTACGTTTTCCTTTTATGTTAGGCAAAGTGCACTGAAATCATTAGTTGTTATGAGGTCCTTAAAACTTCTGAAAAATAGTCACACTGCGACACTGTTTGTTTGTTTGTTTTTTAAATGCACTCAACCTTTTTTGTATCTGACAGGTTTGTCAAGGACCGAAGACCCTCCATATCCCCCAACTTTAACTTCCTGGGCCAGCTGCTGGAGTTTGAGAAAGGCTTACGACTGCTCCAAGCGTTAACTTCAAGCTCTGATGACCAGAGCCTTGAAGACCACTCAAAGCAGACTTCTGAGCTTAACAGTGTCAACGCGTGTTTCGAGATGAACGGTCACCATAGTAACTATGACTCTTCTGTGGTAGAGCCACAAACCCCACCCGAGCCCAAGGCACCGTCACCCGCATCCCTCCAGCAAGGCTTCAACGGCTTGCACCTCTCTGCGGAGAGGATCATGGACACGAATCGTCTGAAACGCTCCTTCTCCTTGGACATTAAATCTGTGTACTCCCCAAACAGTCCACACTCTGCTGCCATGGCACCAACGCACTCTGAAGATGTCCCCAAGCTGTGCAAACTGGACAGCCCCGAAACAAGCACTTCCAATGGCATCTGCTCTCACTCTCCCATCCTGAACAGTCCCTGCTCTTCTGACTCCCCCTTCCCATCACCAGGCAGCATGGGAAGCATCGGAGGTTTGGGGCACGGAGCAAGCGAGGGGGTCCATCGGCCTGCTTCTTCGGCATCCAGACCCAGAAGGAAAGCCAAGCATAGCTCTGGCAGTTCGCCGATCCATTTCCAGCAACTCCCGCCACAGTCCCTCAGCCTGTCTCTTGACCATAAGGACGAGAACTTAAAAGGTTCCCTGCTTCTGGCGCTGCCCTCGGTGCCCTCCGTGGGTTCTGGGGCCATGTGGACCAAACACAGAGACACTGTCCAGGCCACCACACCCGTGACTCCCACCACCGATGCCCCCTGGCCCTTCGGGGCCGAGGAGGGGGGTGAGATGGAGCTCGGCGGCGGAGGCGACAGCAAGGGAACCGAGTCGTCCGTGAGGTTCGGGAGCAGCTCAGCCTATGTGGCGTTCGGTTGCAGCGAAAGTGTGCGGTTACGAGACAAACCTCAGAAGGAGAAGCCTCCGATGCTGCAGCGAGAAAAGCGGGAAGAGCGGGTGAGCAACAGCAGCTCGGCCACAGAGAAGCAGTTTAAGCGCCGCAGCTGTCAGATGGAATTCGAGGAGAGCATCTCGGAGACGCGTTCCCGGGAAGAACTGGGGAAGATTGGGAAACAGTCGAGTTTCTCCGGGAGTCTTGAGATCATTGAAGTGTCCTGACAGATAATAGACGTTCACATCACTGGCGGCAGAAAGAGACCTCTTTAGAAGGACTGTGTCTATATCACAGACAGTGTTCAAGACTCCCAACTGAGAGATAGACAGGGACATTGTGCTGCTTACCTGACCACAACCTTCTGAACTCTCTCGAGGCAGTGACTGGCGGACTGAAGGTACTGACCTTCTACGGTCAAAGGGCCCCAGTGCCTGCGTTATGTTGCATCCTTCTCATTTAGAATAACTTTGTTTTGACATGGAGCGTGGACTCCAACCACCTGCCTGTGGTCAAGCGTAGAGTAGTTCCGATGGTTATAGAAGTGGTGATCTGAACCAAGTGCCCCGTGTTACCCCAAAGCGTCCACCACTTCGGTGTCCAAAAGCCTCAAAACTTCATACGCTCTTGTCCAGTCCGGTGCGATTGTAAGTTCATCTGCATGAGTGGTGGCCTCGGAGGGCATGTCACCGCAGCACAAGGCACGGCACTCGGGTCCCCTGAATGCAGCCAGAACAATGACAGGGCCTCAGCTCACCTCAACTTCCAGCAGTGACCCAAAAGCACAGTGACGCTGGCTCCCTCACTTCCAGTGTCAGCGGCGTCATGGCACTGAGGTTTCAGGTCACGGGCCACCCTGCCATTGCGCCATGTCACCACTTGTGGTCACCGCTGAGCATGCATCATGAAAGGTTGGCAACGAAAGACAAATAACTATATATACAATATGAATATACTGTGTATGTATAGTGACTCAAAAGGACTTTTAATTTATTGTTCATTCTGGTAATGAGATATAATATAATGTTTTGTGGATTGATTTCATTTTTCTTTTGTTGAATTATTATTTGCTGTATGGTATTTATGAACATGTACAAATACATAGATTCATCGGATTCAAGCAAGCAATATGTGCTGTTCCTTCTTTGGGGAGAGTGACGTATGACTTGGAAATGCACTTTTCTGCTTTCTGGTAACCAAGTTCTTTTGTGGGACGGCGCAGAGAAAGCTAGTGACATCGAAAAGAAACAGCAGCAGAAGTCTGTGATCATGGCTTTAACACATGAGCATTTTGTGCATGACATCGAGGGGAGGGGGGGGCTGCTTAACAACAACTTTCTGCAGCATACGCACAGTTTTGGATAAACCAATCACCCTCTCAAAGCTAGTTCCGGTGTTTCTCACCAAAGCTGAACCGAGCTCACACACCCTACACTGTATGCACTTATTTCTACACAGGCAAAGCTTCAGCCCTCACATGGACACACACGCAATCTTTTCCTTTCCTTCTCAGGGGATCTTTCAGTGAGCCAAGCCCAGCACATCAGCACAAAACATGGACATCTCTTACATTTATCGCTCTTATTTCCCCTCAGACTTTGGGTAAAACCGTGGTGCGAGATGCTTATTTATTCATCGTGTAAAACGTGTTGTCTTTTGACCCATGACTAGCATTTGACCTTGTGCTGCTACAACTTCTGATAGATTCCTTTTGTTTGCCCGAGGCTCAATCAAGCTCCTAAATCCTTCCTCCATGTTGTTTTTTAAATTGTTGTTAGCATTATTTATGATATGTAACAAATATGATGCAGGCTGTCCCGTTTGCTAAATCTGTTGTTATTGAATGATTATTATTACTATTATTGGTATTCTTATTATGATTAAGTTGTAAATAGCAACACATGGAAGAACACTGATGCATTTTTAAAGGAAAAATCCTGACACCTAGGATGCTTGACGCTTAAAAAAAAAACAATAAAAAATACCTCAGGTTATATTGAAAGGCTTTTCCTTCCCCTGTACATGTTTTGTGAAAATGAGACAAAATACAGACATGACAAAATACAAACTTCTCTGCTTCTGGTTCTTCTTCCCATTTCTGGTTACCAAGAGGAACTCCAGTGATATGTTTGCACATTACGTGACGTGATGACAACTGGAGTCTGGAGTCTCACTATTGATTTTGTGTTGAACAAACTCCACTCTGATCACAAACAACAACTTAATTGATTTTTTTTTCTTTCCCTGCGATAGTGGTAATGTCAGATGCTTTTGTATATTGATGAAGATGGTGAATTATTTAAGAGCATTAGTAACTCTAAAAATGATTCAGTCACAGTGAGTTTTTAATGAAGATTAGACCAAGGACATTTTTGTATTTGTGGCCTAAATAATTCTTATATCGTGAAATAAGGCTGACGGTTTGAAGCGCAATCATGCTCCTCACAGCAACTGAAAATTCAGTAGTTGCTCTTTTCAACCCCCATTCCATCCATCCATTTTCCAATCCGCTTTATCCTCACAAGGGTCACGGGGCGTGCTGAAGCCTATCCCAGCCATCTTTGGGCAGTAGGCGGGTTATGCCCTGAACTGGATGCCAGCCATTCACAGGGCACGACATAAATGAACAACCATCCATGCTCACACTCACACCATGGGACAATTTAGAGTGTTCTATTAACCTGCCACGCATGTTTTTGGAATGTGGGAGGGAACCGGAGTACATGGAGAAGACCCACGCAGGCACGGGGAGAACATGCAAACTCCACACAGGAAGGCCGGAACTAGGATTGAACCCTGCACCTCTGCACTGTGATGCTGATGCGCTCATCAGTCGACCATCAGACTGACCACAGTCAAACTGACGTGGTCATAAAGAGATAACATTTGACACCATTGGAAAGCAATAAAATGAACACTGTGGAAAGTAAAGTGTGTGCTTTGACAGACAGACAATGATGTGAGGGAGATTAATGCTTTTCCTTGGGTGGAGGGTTTCTTCCTTTTACTCACTAGTTGCCAAAACATAGATGTACAGTGGCCGGTATACCATAACCCCCCGCCAATTTACAAATCGCTATCTTACCTATCGTCACATTTTTTTTCGGTAGAACATAGCTAAAACTAATCGCTGAAAAACACCGATGCTATTTATATATTTTTGTGCTTTCTGTAGCACCCAAGATGTTGCCCAAACACCCCGCTCCTAAGGCACTATGCTAACAGAGGACTTGCTAGCATTGATAGCAGCCACCTTAAGAGCAGACAACAGCATGGTGGAACAGTCCAGGTCGGACAGGCATGGGGATGTGTCTGTTTAATCAGTCACTTTCCAACTTATGTTAAATGGGAGTCGGCACACACCTGCCACCAATTACCGTGCCTCAGATGAACTCCAAATGAATAGAGCTGTTGAAGGTGGCTTTTCCAGACATTTTAGTCACAGTTTACAGCACAAGCCGTGGTCCACAGAGAGCTTCCGCAGCGTCAGTGGGATGTCTCTGATCAATGATAGCAGTCAGGAGCAGGGTACAAAAGAGTTTCCAAGGTATTGAAAAACAAAATGAAACAAGTTGAAGAGAATCCTCAGAAAATATGGGACCGCAGTTATCTTACCAACAACAGGACATCCCTCAAAAATTGATAAAAATGACAAAAAGAAAACTGGTCACTGAGGCTGCCAAGAGGTAGACACCAAGAAGAGCTACGGGAATTTCTTCAAGTACGGACTGTTTAGTACATGTGACAGCCATCTCTGTTCTTCATATGTCTGGGCTGTGGGTAGGATGGCAAGACTAACGTCTAATCTTACAAAAATAAAAACGTCAGAACCCAGACACACGACAAAAAGAAGTTAGGCTACTTGAAATCCGCAAAATGCATGTGGGGAAGATGTGTTTTAGTCTGATGAAACCACAAGCATAAGATACGTTTGAAATGATATTTAACTCAACTCAACTTAAATGTTTTGAGATCTCAGTTTGTGGTATTTTCTGGATTTAAATAATAAATATAGGCAGTTAACAGTATTAGGAGGCATACATTATTCACATTTTTTTTTTTACTATTTGCAAAGGCACTGACAGCAGTAGCCTACAGCGGACGAGTGCCATAAAATGTATTTCTTCACTGCAAATGAACAGTAACCTACCTATGGAATATTTAATGGAAAATTAAAGTGATATGGCATTGCTATGTTGTTATTGTACAGATTAGAAAGAAGCCATGAAGGAGTGAAGGCATCATCGCTGATTTGTTCCCTTGTGCCACTCTGACTCATTGTCAGGTTAGCATTACGCTACTTCCTCTTTGAAGTCCTGATGCATTCAAACTTTTCAAGACTATGGCTTGCATTCAACCTTCTTCCTCATTCCCACTATCGGTGGAACGTTTTACTGTTTGCAGCCACGTCAGGTGACGCGTGAACAACAGTCAACAGTCGCCACCGGGGGATGAGAGGATGGGAAGAGGTCGGGCTTGTGTGAGGTCACGGTGAGTGCCGTTTGGCCCATACCGGGCAAATTTTTTGCATCCTCTGACAAAGGCAGGTTTGGTTTCATGATGTCATGGTGGAATGTCAGCTCACACAATCAAATAACATGTGCAAGCAAAGCTCCATAGAGACAGAATAGCTTGTGGGTGCAATGTTGCTTAAATGAGCCATTCAGAGGGCACGCTGATGTAATGGACTTATCGGCCTCTCCAGCTGAGACCCACTATTTTTGGGGGTGGGTGTGGGTGTGTGAGGGAAACAATGAGGTGGCTTCTATCTCCACCCCTTATGGGAAACGCCCACAATGGGACAATATCAGCTGTTAGTGATGTTTTTTTTTTTTTTTGTCAGAAGTACTGGATATAAAAATTCAACACACCCTTGTTAAAATGCTTTATAAGGTAGTTAAAAAAATGACAGCATGGAGATCAAAAACGTTTCCACCTTTTAAAGGGGAAGTGATAGAGAAATCTACGAGCAAAACTGTATCATGTTTAACGTTTCATTTAATTTTGGTATGTCGAGACGTTTGGGTGTGTATTCAGCGCCCCAAACGCCTGTACGCAAAGGTGTCAGCCACAAAGTGGGAATAAACAATTTGGGAACGAAGCGTTGTTGAACATCAAAAGATGGTTTGGGAACGGCTGTCGCGCCCAGGCAGACATTTGTCATCTGCAAAGTCTGCAACTTGCTGATTCGTTGTACACCAGACTGAAAGGTGTCAACGTATCTGTGGTTCAAAGCTTAAACCAAGGTAATCAGATCACTACTGAGAGGCTAGACCGGGGGCGTGGCATGCAAATATGTTGTATTTTGCATATGTAAACAATAAAAGTCCCGACTGGAGGACAAGGAACTCTGAGTGTGATCACGGGGCAACTACCGTCATTCGCCCTCAGAGATCCTCTTCCGCCGTCAGAAAGACAATCTTCCCTGTCTGTCGAGTCATTTGTTTAACTTTGTCCGAGTAAAAACTCTGACAGGAAGTCAACCCCCAAATTTTCTCTTCAAAGATATGTCGCATTAATAATCTTCACTGAGTGACGTTGCAAACATCGATGCAGTAGTCTTGCTCTGTCCACTCCCTACAGCATAATTTTGGGTGATAAAGTGTACTGCAAGAAGTCACACCAAGCAATTTGGTCGGGTTACATTGCAACCACTTGCTGTACCTGATATTTCTTAAGCCAAGCCCATCAATTTGGCAGGAGCTCATTGAGAAAGCTGGCAGTGCGCCTTCTTGCTGAGAAAGGCAGTCGCTAATATCTGCAGGTAGTTTTGGAAACATATCCGATTGGAGATTTGAATTTACTGGCAACATTGAGCGTTAACAGTTGAACAAGATAAAATTTTTAAAAAACTGTCTTTGGAGGCACCATCTGAAAATACTTTCTAAAGGAATTACATTCTTTTAATCAACCGTTATTATGGAAATAATTAGAAATGAATGCAGCAACTATAGACCGGGGAACAGATTCAAGAGGAGTGCCATATTTAGCTCACCCTTGCCACTCAATCTCCATTTAGTCACTAATTTGTTTTGCATGTAGTGTCGTGTTTGTGTGCTCCCCATGTGTAAAATTCTCTCCACATGTCTTGTTGTACGTCTTTGCTTCCATGTGGATAGCATCCAGACATGGGCAAACTACGGCCCGCGGGCCGGATCCGGCCCGTTGGTCTTTTTAATCCGGCCCGCCGAAGGTTGGTACAGTACAAAATTAAGGTTCGATGTAAATTATTGCATTCCTTTCATTTGGACTTGTAATACAGGCATTTAAACGCCAGGTGGCGTAGTTACTTGAAGTCGCAGACCACAGGGAGGGAGGGGGAGACGATACGGAAGCCCGCAGTAGCACTAACTCAAGTAAGTCCCGCTCGATACGACGAAATACATGTATCCGCACCGCTATTTTCTGTCATTGGATCCAAAACGGCGACATGCAAGCGACTCTTTGTTGCAGTGAGTTTTACTGGAATTGCGAACATTTTTACATCCTATATTTGAGCATAGCATCCAAACAAAGAGGAGCGGTAATGGCCGCGGAAGAGAAAATGAAGTGTATCTCATTAAACGAAGTGGGTTACGAAGTACGAAACATTCAGGAGACGCTTGGAGTCTGGAAGACTCAAATCTACGAGACTTTGAAAAACGAGGAAGCGATTCTTGCTCAG